CGGAACCGCGAGTCTTAAATGTATTTTTATCGACTTGCCGGGGGAATAGGAACCGGACTGTTGCTCCCCGGAATGGTAGGAGCCGGAACCGCGAGGTTCTGTACAGTTGTTATAAAAAAAAAAGAAAAAAAAAAGTGGGTTTTGACCAATATACATGTAATGTAGAGGGAAAGTGGGGAAGTGGGAAAGAATGCCATACATCTAATGTAGAGGTATATAGAAGAAGAAGTGGATTTAGACCAGGAGAAAGAAGAAGAAGAAGAAGAAGAAGAAGAAGAAGAAGAACATAAGATTGAACCAATGTCATCTCCCTACTCTCTCACTGTCATCATGTAATGGTCAGGTAATCGCGGCCACCTCAACTTGTTAACAATGATTAAATAAACAAATGACTGAGCAAGAATGGATGTACGAATGATCCTCTTAGTGACAGTAGTCACCGATGCAATTAGACTCGCTTTCTTTCCACTTCGCACACATGCAAACAGATGGAGACTCAGACTGGTGCAGGGCTCCCACTCAAAGCTTAGAGATATGGAAATCAAGAACACAGTTGAGATGCAAGTTCTCTTCAACAGGCTATGGTGCATCAGCGCCTGAACATCCCAACCTTCGTCCCTGTGTCCAACCCCACTGTTCACACACGCTCACTCTGGATCACCCTGAATACCACCACACACATACGCTATGTCTACTTCCTCCTACAGCGGCTATGGCCGCACTACCACTACTGATTATGGCTGCAATCTCCCTTCAGCCCACTTCGTCTTTGGGCAACCTGCAGACCACCTTCGCACAAGACGCTGTAGTAGCGCTTCCGCATGGCTTACGCAGCGAATGAATGTATGGCTGAGCGCTGCCTCTTGATTTATATTTCTGTAACTCGTTGGTCTGCCCCTTTCCCTCAGCCCATGGTGCACACAGTCCCTCTTGGTACTTGCTGGACTGGACTGGGACTGACTGGACCGGTACCGCTGACTGCATGGGTTTGCACTGCCAACTCGATGCAGTCGCACTGCCGATGTAACGCAGTTGGGCTCACCACTTGCCCACTTGCCTCTGTCTAAACGTGAGACAAACTGCGAAAGGCTGCTTCCGGAGCTTCCGGAAGTCTGTGGGCTTGGCCTTTCGGGTACTGTTGCAGCTACGACCTTGACCTTTCAGGACTGTAGCAGCTATGGCGTTGACCTTTCAGAATGCCTATGGCTACGACCTCTACAAAGCTGTGACCCCTACTCGACAGACCTACAGATCGAATCCCTACATCTACACAGTCCTGCGACAGACAAACAACAACTAACGAAACACAGGTCACAGGTTCGAACACTCGGGGGTCAACTCGATACTGTACATGGGTAAGGTAAGGTCTGGGGATCGAACCCTGGAATCTGCATCTGCCTCTGCAAAGGTGAAAACCGTTTCACCGAGCTCTCCTTCAGCCTTCTCTCTCACATTCCTCCTCATGGTTGTCCATTTGGGTATGGCGGTTTGTCCATGTCTAGTTGGATGTGCAAAGGACAAGGCACGACTACCGTGGTGCTCCTATCTCCTATGGCCATAGCCACACTCCCATGTGCCGGATAAACTCTATGCTCAACTGCTACCCCCCAAAAGGGACCTTCCAGATGAAGCCCCAACCAAGGAGGTGGAGATGAAGGTCAACCATAGCCAAAGGTATGTCTCCATTGTCGGTTCGCTCTTGCTTCTCCCTCCTCTACCTATACGCTTCCCTTCCGCCTACCAACCTCCATGGCCTAGCTTGAGTCCTTCTCCTTCTACCTCCCCTTGCTACTCATTCTCCACAGCTATGGAGGTCTTCTTCCTGACCAGCTCCAACCAAGGACGCGGAGACGAAGGTACACGATAGCCAAAGGTATGTCTCTATTGTCAGTTCACTCCTGGTTCCTCCTCCTCTACCTCTAGTCTTCCCTTCCACCTATTAACCTCCGTAGTCTAGCTTGAGTTCCTTCTCCTTCTACCTCCCCTCACTAATTCTCCATAGCCATGGAGGTCTTCTTCGTTCCCCTTGGCTCCTTCTTCATCACTCAAGTTCTCTACCTCCCTCTCTCTCACGGTGGAGCAGCCACATGACTGCTGGGCGAATGCCAGTATTAATTGCACTGAAAGATGTACTCTCATGTACTCTCTGCCTCTCCAGCCATCAGTCCCTTTCCCTCAGATACTCTAGCCTCCTACTGGGGCACTACCATCTTCACCCTAATAGAAAGCGTGGTTGCTATCGATGTATGTAAAGCCAAAGTTGCCCCAAATACACAGCTACAATGATCTTACTTCTAATTGGCGGTAGACGGGCCCTGCCTTTTGCCAGGGATGTGATTGTAGTTCGAAACTCACTTCCAAGTCCTGTATTTAGTCCTATGTTCAGGCCTGGTACCTGATAGCTATGGGACTCTGGGGCCTTGGGACTTACTGCAAAATCCTGACCTGTCCCTATCAAATTCGACCTGTGTTCCTGTGCGTTGTAGAATCTCCTCTCTAAGTCTGTTTTTGTCCCAAGTTTCAGACGTGCAATCAGACTCTTTCTCAAACACACTTTTCATGCATGTAAACAGCAACGCAGCATACTGGCGACATACGCCCACTCAAAACTCAGAGATATGGCTTTCAGATACGAGTTCACCCTCAATGGGCTATGGCGACTTCAGCGCCCAAACATCTCACTGTTCACATACACTGGATCACCCTGGATATCCCACACGCATCACTCTAACACTCGAACACACACACACACTCRCTACTAACTACAGCTATGGCAGCTGTCGCTGCATCTACCCTATCGCTATGCTAGCTCCCTCTCTCTAGCCCACTGCGTCCTCCGGGCTCATCTGCAGACCTCCTTGCACAAGTCGCTGTGGCAGCGCTTCCGCATGGCTCACGCAGGAATGAATGAATGGCTGGGCGCTGCCTCTTGATTTATACTTCAGAAACTCGTTGGTCTGCCCTTTGCCATCGGCCCTTGGTGCTCACAGTCCCCCTGTGGTACTTGCTGGACCGGACTGGGACTGACTGGACCTTCCGCTGACTGACTGTGGACTCACCGCTATCCTACCGGCGCTGTACTGCTGTTGCACTGCGGTTTAGTCCACCACTTGCCTCGCCACTTGCCCACTTGCCTACCTTCTAGAAGGTCTACAGCTAAGCTTCCGGAACTCACTAAGACTTCTACGCTATAGACCTACAGATCGAACCCCTGCTGCCTATGGACCTACGACAGACCTACCAACTATCTGCGAATACACAGGTCACAGGTTCAATTCTCGGGATCTATACAGATACTGTACATAGGTAGGGTGAGGTCTAGGGATCGAACCCTGGGTACTGCATCCGCTACTGCTAAAAGGTGAAAACCGTTTCAGACATACCCCTGTATCTAACACCTATTTGCTATCCTATCCCTGTTCATGGTACAGAAACACAGCATTGGAAATAGGGTTAGCATATGGACGCAGACATTTTTTTTCACTGAGATCTTCAACGAACAAGCACTTGGGCATATACATACATCATCCACAGGAGCAGGACACACAGACTCGTACCCTGAGGAGTTATTTCTGGTCTTGTTCATATTCTTCAAAACGTTCCTTGTTTTATTGACTGTTTTTACGTTACGGAGGAAATGATCAAATTGCTGATCCAGTGTATAATTCTTTCACACTTGGCATGGGAGATCGATCATTTACTAGAGATTTTTTTTGGCGGTTCAGAAAAATAAAACACAGCAAAAGGAACTCGAACTCGGAATCTCAGCCGAACAGATCGAAGGCTGCAGCTTTCTGAAGACAATGGAGATAAAAAAGAAAAGCAAAAAAGGCACGATGCAGATTTATCAGATGAAAACTGTGTGGAGGCATGATGCAGATTTATCAGATGAAACTGTGCGGGTCATTAGGTAATGGATTAATTGACGATGACGACTTTTCAGAAAGGTGAGTGTTTGGTCCTACAGCATACTCGAGTATGGACCAGGCCTGCCATACTAGTGCTGTGCTCGTGGTATTTATTGTGGTCTGAGAAGTGGCCAGGTTCATAATTATTTAGCGTAAACTGAGCACCAGACAGGCGTCTTGCTCTTATATTGTGCTGTGTCGCCAGTGGTTTGTGTTTGTTTCAGTGGCCAGTATTGACTTTTCTGACTTTTTTGGAGTTTTCCCTAATGAAATATCGAAAATGTGTGATGTCGTCGGCCATGTGTTACAGGTTATGTATGATGCATCGGGAGTGCGGTTGCAAGCTGGGAGGCAAGCAGAGGTGTGCTCTCTCTGTCAAGTCTTCAAGTCTTGTGCATACTTTGTTCTTTTTCCTGTTTGTTTGTTCGACTGCTTTTTTATTTCTTTTTCTTAAAAAAAAAAAGAAACGAAAGACAGGCCCTGCTGTTGGGCCTAGCTCCTATTCTGAGGATCGTCAGTCTGGTCCCTTCTGCACCGACTTTTTTCTTTTTTCCCTCACGGCCATGCGGGCTTTTCTTACAAAGTTAATGCAAACACTACGTAAAGTTTGTCCGACTATATTGTTTCAAATTTCAATGTTTGTTTGGATTTTCCTTCCAACCACCAACCATACGGTTGATGTTCTGTATGTAGACTCGTGAAACACACTCATTCATGCGATGTTTCACACAAAATCATGGATACAAGTCACATACAGTTACGTGAATGTACATGGAACGTGATTCACTCGTCTGATGTATACTGGTAACAGAGCATGCTCACTCTCACTCGGCTGATTCTTCCAAGCGGGTTCACATGCGCTGTATTCAGGTTGATGTTGTGTTCAACCAGGTCCTTCCATTTTTCAGAAAACACGGAGTATCTTGATCCTCCTTATATTTTGCGTCTGTTATGTCCATCCTATGATGCTTAATATGCACTCAACATCCTGTGGGTGGGAAGAGTTCTTTTTCTTTTTATTCTTAAATTAGTTTGGACCATTGATCAATTTATGTGCGTTATCCTTGCGCAGGGGCCATGCTAATATTCTCGTATCGTTGGATGTCCCGAAGAACAGGGCAGAGTTTTTTCTTGTTTTTTTTTTTCTTATGCAATGATCCTCGCAAGATTCAACTTAAAATGCAACATGCAATTGAGAACATTCAGATGACGTTCGCACAAGCTTGAGGTGGTGTCCATGAACAGTGTGCCACTCAAAGCACAATAATGTACACTTGAAAAAGTTCGGCAATAAGCGGTTTCAATCGCTGCAACACTCCTCAGGTATGTACCTGACTCCCTCCTCCTCCTCCTTTCCTCTATCGCTCTCTCTCTCTCTACACTCCCCTCCTCTCTCTCTTTCACTTGCAGTGTTCCTCACTCGCTGTTCCTCTCTCTACAATGTCCCAGATTTACCCTGAATGCCTCTGCGGTGTGTCTTACTGCAAACGGGCGTTTACGGCCGCCAAACACTTCGCCTCCTCCCTCCTGGCTATGGTGGTCTGTTGCAGCCAGGGTGCTGGTCTTCTTCCTCCCTTCAGCGTTCTTCTTCGTCCAGGTCACTAGTCTGCACAAGCTTCCAGCAGCGTTTCCACAAATTTTCGAAATGAACAACTGACTGCTTCCGGCACTGTAGTCCAAGATATGTAGTTGTAGTGGACTCTGTTTCGTGCCTGCTTCAGTCGGTACTGGGCGCCTTCAGCCTCTGCCTTGCCAATTGCTATTTTGGGAAATTTCCCGACTTTCTTGTGAGGCTGCTGCAAACTTGTACTACCGGTACTGTACGGTACTGTAGCCTACCAACCTTCAGTGTCCTATCCTACAGGCCCTAGGACTCTAAACTATTGGGGCCTGGACTGTGGTAATTTGGGACCCTAGAACCGTGACTGGGGAAGCTTACAGCGTGAATCCATTCACTCCCGCCGGCCTAATTTCGAGGTCCTCCGAGAAAAATCAGAACTTCAACGGTCACAGATGTTCAATCCTCGGCGTGCTCGCTCATAATATGACACGATATGAGGGGCTGTCTGAACTAACTCACCCCTCGTGAACCAGCAATCTTCGCTGGGATCCTGATAAGCAAATCTGACCTTGTATTGTCTCTGCAGTCTCCCTCTACGACCTGTATGGAAGGTATCGTCAGCTACAATCTTCTCTACATCATATCTTTCGTCCATATCAGTTGGAATCATAGATCTGCATGAGGGGAATGCATCATTAGGGAAGGAGCTTAGAAGCGTGAAAAACGGGATAGGTGTGCAGATGGGGTGGAATCTCGATGGTGTATGACGGTCCATCTGCGTCACCTTTTGACATCTAGCACTTGCCACGGCCCTCTGTAGGCAGGTAGCAACTTCTGCGAAATCTCTTCCCCGGGAATAAACTCCTTAGACTTGACCCAGACAAGATCACCTATCGCAAACTGTGACCGACGGCGGTGCTTGTTCGCCTGTTCCATGATCTGATGCTGGGCCTTCTTGATGTTCTCAGCCACATGTTGCAAACCCTTCTCATACTGAATGGCAAACTCACGTGTGCCAGGTGGCACCCTTCGGATCTGATCTGGATTCATACAGTCTATGGGACGTCAGGGACTCCAGCCTCTATGCAGCTCATTTGGGGTCCGCGAGGTAGCCAGGTGAACTGAGTTATTATATGCACTGGCTACTTTGGGAAGATGCTCATCCCAATCTACCTGGTCTGGTCTTATATACATACGAAGTACTTGCTGTAGAACCTTGTTCATCTGCTCAGTCTGGCCATTCGTCTCAGGGTGGCGTCCAAATGACATAGCTAACTTAGATCTGTAGACCTTCATTAACTGCTGCCGCCATTCCCCTATAAACCAGGTATCTCGGTCACTAACTATGCTCAGCGGGTAACCGTAATCCTCGACCCAATGATTAAAGTTCCTCTTTGATGACCAGATCTGTCTTTGCTTCAGCAGGTAATGGTACAAAAGCGACAAACTTGCTAAACCTGTCAACTATGACCATGACGTGACTCTTCCCACTACTACTCTTGACCTTAGTGTCCATAAAACTATAGATACAGATTCACCGGGGCTGGATGGAATAGGCAGGGGCTTCAACAGTCCAAGGGGAGGCTGTGTGGAACTCTAGTTCCTCTGGCAGACTTGGCAGCCTTGGATGTAGGTGATGCAATCATGCTTTATGCCTGGCCACATGTAGGATCCAAGTAGGGTAGCATAGGTCTTCCGCCAACCAAAGTGGCCTTCAGTATCGTGGCATTCCCCTAGGATCAGACTGGGTACATCTTCACTACACGGTATGCAAACTGTATCATGCACATCAGTCTTCTCAAAGAGCAATCCATCTGCCATTTTGAAATCAGGCACTTCTTAAGGTGTGGTCTGCACCTTCTTTATCAACATACCATACACAGGGTCATCAACATATGGAGCCTTGATCTTTTGCTGCAGATCTGCGCCAGCATCTAGGTAAGTCGCAATTGCACCAAAGAAATGTGCACGTCTACTCAATGCATCAACGACAACGTTGTACTTACCCTTGACTGGTTTCAACTCAAAATCAAACTGATCAATTTCCCCAGCCCATCTAGTCAACTTCGGAGTCATCCGGGCCTGGGTCTTCAACCAACGCAAAGTCTCATGATCTGAATATACCTTGAAGTGTCGCCCTAGCAGGTAATGTCGCCAATGGTCCAGAGCCTATCGAAGGGCAAAGAGCTCACACTTATAAGTCGAGGCTGCTACCTTATCACTACGGAGCCTACAAGACATAAACTCAACGGGCCTGTACCCCTCGCCATCATTCTGTTGGAGAACTGCGCCAATGCCATGCTGGCTAGCATCGGTAGTTACAACAAACGGTAAGGATGAATCTGCTACTTTGAGTACCGGGTACTCGATGAGGGACTTCTTCAACTTCTTGAAGGCTGATGTACAGTCCTTGTCCCAATTCCAAACGGTTTCCTTCCACAGCAGCCTGCGCAAGGGACGGGAGAGCAGCAATGGAAGTGAAGTTACGAACAACTTCCGGTAGTAGTTGGCCAATCCTAAGAACGACCGCAACTCAGTCAACGTGTGAGGGGTTGACTAGTCACGAATTGCTGCTATCTTGGCGTCCTCCGGTTTGACTCCAGCTCCATCTACCACGTGTCCCAAATACAGGACTTTGGCGTTTAGCCCACTCACACTTCTTCGGGTTGATCTTGAAGTTAGACTCACGCAACTTAGCCAAGATCTGATGCAATTGAGTCTGATGCTCCTCCAGACTCTTGCAAAAAATCAGAATATCATCTAAAACAACAACAACAAAGTTATCCAGCCAATCTCTAAACAAATCATTCATGCATCTTTGGAATGTTGCAAGGGCATTAGTCAACCCGAACGGCATCACTACAAACTCGTAGTGTCCATAGTGAGTCCTAAAGGCCGTCTTGTGCTGGTCCTCCGACTGCGCCTCAATCTGGTGTTACCCGGACTTCAGATCAATCTTGGATAAATACTTGCATCCCTGCACCGTATCTAACAAATCATCTATCCGGGGCAATGGTTCAGCATTCGTAATCGTGATGGCATTCAATCCTTGGTAATCAATGCACAATCGCAGTTCACCCTCTTTCTTTGACACGTACAAAACTGGTGCACCGTACGATGATGAACTGGGCTTTCCTACCCCTTCTCAATCAGCTCATCGAGCTGCCTGCGCAGTTCATCAAGTTCCTTGGGAGACATCCTATAAACCGGGCCCATGAGAATCTTGCTACCGGGTTCTATCTCAATCCGGTGCTTGATCTCCCGCTCTACCTCTCCGCTTGGGGCTTCTTCCACATCAGCAAACTCTTGCAGCGGGTTCTCCACTTGGGGCGTGTCTTCTCTTCGCCTTTACTTTGTTCAATGACCGGTTTTACATAGGCCACAAAGACCTGATCTTCCAGCTTCTCCTTTGGCACATGTCGGGCGAACGCAGGGGCACTCATACAACAAACAGACAAGTGGGACTCTAGACCGGACTCGTGGAACAACCTTATCTTCTTCTTGCCCCCAGTGGGGCTGGTCAGCCAACACTCATGCTCGCCCAACTTGACATCTGCCATGGCTGCTTCTCCCCAGTCAGTCCCTAAAATCATATCAAAGAGAAGGCTGTCCTCCGCTAAGAGGGCAAGGAAATCCAAAACCTTCTCCACCGTCTTTCCCTCCTCTAACCGGAAGTATGTCTTGATACCCTTGACGTACTCCTCCGCTCGCATCTCGTGATTATCGACCAGTCTACTCAATACCGGCTCACTCAACCTCTTTACCTCCATTCCTAAGTGCAATTTCTTCAGTCCTCTTCT